TTTTTTTTTGGTTTTTCTCCGGTACCGGGAACCGAACTCACGACCTTGCGCTTGCCAGGCAGGCGCTTTGCCGCTGAGCTAAATCCCCAGCCCCACCATGAGCATTTTGAACTTTACTTAACCATGAAACCAGATCCAGTGTTCATTGGGCATTTGTACTTTGATAAACACACTCATTATGTACTAAGCATAGACCAGTAGACTAAACAGCGGTTAATAGTGACGGATCCCACAAAGTCTCTTGGACACTGGTCTGAAATCAGATATGCTGACTGATACTCCAGCTCTGAGGTCCAGGAAAAATTGGAAGTGGAGAACTTTTTTGTGTTCTGGACATCACAGATATCCAACAAAATAACTGTTAAGAAGTTAACGTACCTTTGGTAAAATCATGCTTTGTATCGGTGTAAGATGAATTACTTTTACTTATGTACTTTTGAGTGCTGGGGACTGACTCCAGCGCCTTTCCAGCGAGCTATCTCCACATCCCTTTTAAATTTTATTTTGAGGCAGGGTCTCACGAAGTCACTCACTTTCCCTGGCTAGGCTTGAAACTGTAAACTGCCAGCACTCCCTGAGTGCTGGGATAATGGATTTTTTTTAGGGGACGAACTGAGATCAGAGGACCTGGGTCAAAGGGGGCGTGGATTTCTTCACACTGTAGAGTTAGGGCTTCTTGAGTCTGGGGTGGAGTAAGATCCACACCAAATCCCTGGTGACTGGGAAAGATCCGTCCCTAAATTCAGAACCTGTGAGGAAGCACAAGGCTCAGCTGTATCCCTCAATGCACTTTCTATCTTCTCTGGATACCCTTTGACCTTCTGTGGCGGAGTTCCTTCCCCATCCCTGCCACAGCTGCTCTGTTCAAAGTTCTTCAAGGAAGTCCAGGAAACGGAAGATCCTACTGAACCTACATGAGTCTTGCCTTCCTGGTATAATGAAATCTTCTGAGTTATGTGACATGACATTCAGCCAAGTGCTTGTTCATTGTGTTTATTGAATAATTACTGTATGGAGGCAGCTGGGATAATGTCCTTGTCTCACTATCTAGGATGAGGATGGAAATACAGTACCTGTCATAGGGCCAGGATTGTTCTAGTGACAGATGCCACCAGCGTGTGTTCATTGCTGAGGATCTAAGGTCAAACCTATGAAAAATGCAACTATGTAATTTTTGGGTGAGTACAGGGTCCCCAATTCCTTGGTGTGGCATGGTACCGGTCCAGTTTGTGTCCTGTGGAGGCCTAGGGACTACACAGCAGAAAGTAATGAAAATGAGCAGGTAAAACTTCACCGGTGGCTACAGCCCTTGCTGTCACTCATTACGTCTGCATGCTGCCTTCTGTCAGATCAGTAGCTGCACTGGATTCTCACAGAGAGTGAGTCCTACTGTGAACTTCACTTTCCAAGGATCTTTGTGCTGCTTATGAGAATATAATGTGTGGTGTTCAGAGGTGGAGCTGAGGCAGTGACAGCAGCCCTGGGAAGCAGCTGTAAATACAGATTAACTTTAGCAGAGAGGTTTGACTGCCCAGAGACCATAATAAATCAAGTGCTTGTATATTCCTATCAATGCTATCAGTCAGTGATAAGTGACAATTAAGCTGAACCTGGTGACAGGTTTTCTAGAGGCAGGTGAATTGATCTACGTCAGTTGTACAGCTGCGTCTGGTGGTAAATTTAAGTTAGAATCCAACACTTATTTTGAGCATGCTTTATTTGTCCATTGTTCATTTTAATGATTTGGAGGTCACTATTTAACATCGCCCCCAGATGGGACCATAGATGCAGAAAAAGAAGCCCAGAACTCTAGCTGATTCTGCATTATGCTGAGTGGTATATGTATTTCATTGTATATTACAATGTAATAATAATAGAAACAAAATATATAAAAATATATTTAAATCAACCTTAAACAATCCATCTGCCTTCGCTCATAAAAACATTTTCTTCCATGAAAGTGGCCCCTGGTTCCAAACAGCTGAGGTTAGCCGATCGAGGAGATAATAGGCCTCATGCATGTTAATTAATTAGTGATATGAGAAGTACTATATCTGCTTCAGCATGAGCCCATAAAGAGAAAAAAGTGACATTTATGTTAAAATTAGATATAAAAACCTTAATACTGTATGTATGGAACCAAATTACCACCACACAGGATATCTTTGTTGTCTGCATGCAGTTGTGGCACTATTGACAGTAGGCGAGATATGGGTTCCGCTCAGTGCCCATGAGTAGATGGATACATATAGGTGGACTAGGGTAGTGTTCCCAAAGGAATATTAGTCCCTCCTATAGAAGAATAAAATAGGG